GCACGGGTAAATCACCTCCTGATTTACTCAAACACTCACGTGAAAACCATGCAGCGGTCGCCTTCAGAGTCTGATTCGAAATCATCTTCAAAGTCATCTTCCAAGTAGTTCTGCGTGCGGCCATGTGCAGACATTTTATCTCTGTGAACCGTGTGGCTTTACTTCTGGTGCATTGCCAGCACATCCAGCACTTGGTTCCCGACCCCGTCATCCTGATCGACCTCACCGATGCTGATTTCTGGTTTCAGTTCGGCCTGCAGAATTACGACATTGCAGTCTGGCGTGGCAACCCACAGCCCGCTAACAGAAGCAATAGGCAATGCATAAGCAGGTCTGAATTGATTTGTCACTCTTGTCCCACCCGCAAGCAATTCGCGGTCAGCATGGATTCTCCAGTGCTGAGTCCAACTAAACTCGTGAGATCTCATGACTCTCGGGTCTAGGCTGCAACCAAGAGGTTGCTCGATTGTCGAGATGACCAAAGGTGTGCAGCACTAGCGTCCACTAACGGCTTTGACTTGCGACGGCGATCTGCTCTGCTCTTGAGTCTCAAGGCTTCTCTAGAACATCCTCGCTTGGTTCTTCATTTTTATTGTTCTTGTTTGTTGCCTTCTGTTTGAATTGTTGCAGCGCGGCTAGAAACTTGTCATTTCCAAGTTTTGCAGCTATCTCCTCGGCTGTCTTTCCCTTTTTGGTTTTGAGGCTCACATCCGCGCCATGCTTCAGGAGAACCGTAACAGTGGATGCGGTGGATTCATCCTCCTTGCGAGCTGCCAGATGCAAAGCGCTTCGCCCTTTTCCGTCCACACAGTTGACATCTGCCTGGGCCTTCAGCAAGAAGTCCAAAGGCTCGTTGCGACTTGCAGCAACCGCCCAGTGATGTGCTGCCTGGGAATCGTTGTCAATAAGGTTCACTTCTGCTCGAGCGCCTAGAAGTAGAAGCAAGATGGACGCTTCTTTGAGCTCGGCCGAATGCATCAAGGGCGTGTAGCCAGTGTTGTCACACGCGTCAACTTCGGCACCAGCTTTCAAACACATCTCCACGATCTCTGGGTGATTTTCGTAGGTGGCGCAGATCAGAGGCGTCTCTCCACTGACCGCTTTAGCGTTGATGTCCGCGTTGGCCTTTAGGAGGAGCTTGAAACACTCTTGCGAGTCGGACAGCGCAGCAGCGTGCAGCGGAGTTCCCCCATCGGCCATCGCTGCCAAGGCCGCTGCAGGCGACGTAGACAGCAAGCCACGGAGGCTTTCTGTAGCATCATCACTGGCCATGTCGTAAGCTGCACCAGCCAAGAATCTTTTCCTGGCAGGGATGTTGCCAACACGGCCTGAAGTTTCGAATGTTTACTGCAAATAAAGTGATCTATTAGTTGTGGCGGTTTGGTTTAGGGCTACTCACTCCTGACGGCAAGGTTGAGAGCTTCGTAGTTTGGGTGTTCGGTAGGAGGTTCCACTGCTGTCAGGGCATCAGCAGTGCCAGCGATGAAGTGCAGAATGTTACGGCGATCGGAGTCACGCGAAGCCTCTGCTGATAGCAGATCAATCCCGAAGCCTCGCCGGGCAACTTGCATAGGGAAAACAGCAAAGGACACGTCCGCATCCTCAGCCCTGTCAGCAAATGTCCCATCTCCCGAATCTAGTTGCAAGACACCTTGTGGAGGGACTTCTTGATCACCCGACATTTGGGCTCCAATCTGGATCCATGCTGCAAGATCATAGAACTTCCCTGCTGCTCTCGACACTTCGTCTGTACTGATGAAACTTTCTAGCACACACCAAATTCGCGTAAATGGAACCGTGTTGCCGTCTAGGATTGCAACCGTGCCCAGGCATCCAGGCAAGCGCATTACCTTGTAGAAAGGGGTGGTCTTCAGGTCTCCCTGCAATTCGCAAAGGTCATGCTGGTTGTTCGCAAAAGTGCAAATCCAAACAGCGTCGCTGATCTGCAGCTGGCGTTCTCGAGCATGTAGCCGCAAAAGGCGCAGTAGCTGCCAAAACGGATTTCCCCAATAATGGGACACCATGACCTTGGGAGGTTGCTCATCCGTCGCCACAAGCTCTACTAATGAGCAAAAGAATGGTCGCGTCAAAGGCTTCACAAACTCTGCATCAATATGATACATGTTCAGCTCCACGCGCTCGTGTGTGTGAGCAGCAATATCCATTGCAGCGCCCGTGACCAGATTCAGGACTCGGTCAGTCTGTTTCGGGGCTTCTCCCTCATCGCAACTCGCCTCACTGCTTTCGCTGTCAGACCTTTCGCCCGTGTCCAGTGACCTGAGCTTCTTGTACTTCACAGACCTTCCACTTCTGTCTGTGATTTCAGACAAAGTCGTGGCATGATGGGCCAAGTCAGCCACAGCTTCGAGCTGTAAAAGCGTGATCCCCCGCATCTCGGTGCTCGAGATGCGGTGGCCAAGCTGGGAAAACATTTTTGGAAGCTGGATTCTTGGATTCTGCGCCCATGCTGCGCAACAGCCAACATACTCCTTAGGAATGACATCAAATGTTGCAAGGAGCTCCACGCCATCCCCAGGTTTGCACTCACTCTGTAGCTCCGCCAGCCTCTTCGGGAACAGCTCCTTCGAGTCTCCAATGCTCTTCCCAAGGCGTAGCTGGTGAAGCCAAGGTCGCGGCACCTGAAGTCGGTCAGTCAGCGCCCACATGATCTCTTCACATGAAGCCGTGGATGCCACGACCTGCTTGAGTACATCGCCCCAGGGCAGACTCACGCTCCAAGTCCGGAAAGAGGGCCTATTTGGCTCAGGGACCTCCTGTATGATGTCAATGCGCTCGAAAGCGAGAAGGTTAGCACGAAGTAGGTCGATGGCTTCTTGAACGTCTGTCGAGACTTTAGCGAGAACTCCCTCCACTTGCGAACTCGAACTTGGTGCACCTTCATGCTCAGAATGCTTACAAGTGGCTTCAGCTGCAAAGGCCAAGGCTTCACCGAGCCTTCTCACTCCGCGGGCTCTGGACTGGCGGTCTTGGTAGGAGATATGCTGCAGAGTTTTCGACACTTGGCATAAGTCCTGGCTGAAATTAGCTGCGGCCTGCTGGAGACACGTGCTAAGGACTCTGATCTGGTGCGGTTGTGCATCCTCAGAGCTTACGGTCGGCTCCATTGCAAGGCAGGCATCAAGGCGCAAGGTCAGGCTTTGTGGTATCTCCTCTAGACTCTCGTGCAGGACTAGAGGCGGTCAATGTTGGAAACGATTTCTGCACTGCTGGATAAACGTTGGCAAACGCTGCGAGGCATAAACCCAGAGCGATGACGACTAGCGACGGGCTCGGTACAAGTTCAACGGTAAGGCCTTGCTCCCTTCAATGAGCTTCACTGTCTTCAACAACATGGACCAGTGCCCTACAAGTTGAATGGCATCCCGACTTGCCTTCTGATCTTGTTGGTCGCTTCCTTCATCATTCCGCGCTTCAGAGACGTCTGCATTGAGGATGGAGTTGGAGGCTTCGGATCCCATCTGAGCCTCGCCAGCAGCAGCGGCATCTTCACAAGTTCCACAAGTGGACATGCTGGGCCTGGTAGGTTCAAAACACCCCCAAAACCCTCGCACAAATGCATGTCATCAAGGAGACTTGTAAACATAGAGCAGAAAATCAGCATGGTGTAGCGCGGTGCCTGAATTTGAGTTTCCAGAACTGTGATTCCCCCGAATAAACCCCCAAGATCCCCAAGTATGGCCCTGAGCGGCGCAATTATGAAAACTCCTAGATCAATGTAGTTTCCAGAGCCTGCAGGTACACTCACATTCTCACATGCATCCTTGCATGAAGGAGTGATACCAAGAGCGGGGCTCCCGTGCGCTTTGCTTGGGCTTCAGGCTTCGCCTCCTGGCCGAACGGCTCCGAAGCATTCCGAAACTTCAGCGAATGCTGCAGCGAAGCTGCAAATGCAAAGTTGCAAAAGCTGGAAAAGCTGCCTCTGGTTGGAAGGACACTTTGGCGTGGTTCACTACCTGGAGCACCCGTGAATCTACTTCACGCAAGTTTGCTGCGCCATGTCCAGCCTGGCCGTCGGTTGCACCAGCTCCCTCATCTGCCTGCCCGCTGGGAAAGCTTTGAATTCGCATGCTGCCATTTGAGAGATCAGAATTGGCATCACATGAGCCTTCATGCGAGGCATTCTCTACAAATTCTCGCATCCAGCTTAATTTACGGGCCTCTTCCTCAGAGGAAAGCTGTGCCAAGTCCCCAGATGCCAATCGACTGGTCTTCTGCTTGTTTACCTGCCAAGTACCATTCCTCCCAGCACCCAGCAACTCTGGAATCACAGGACATGCGCCTGAAGCTGGCGCCGAGTAGCCTGCCAAGGGTTGAACGCGATGAGACGCTCAAGTTAAGATCTCGAGCACGGGGTCTCCAAACTTGGAGCAAAAGCTAGAGGTGCCTCTGTTTTGCTCTTTGGAGTCTTTGCTGATGCAGCATCCACATCCTGCAAAGTGCAACAACTCACTGCTGCTTCATTCCAAACTGTTGGCACGCAGACTGCAGCTACTTTGGCAACCTCTTACCTCCGCGAGCGTCTTCGCGGCACCCGTGGACACTCGAACCTTGACCCAACAAACGTTGAGGCACCATCTGCGCAGCTGCATGAGGCTGACGCCACTAGCC